AGTTCACTTGGCGGCAGACCAAGTGATCAAAGTCTCCGAGCAGCAAATACCAGATACAGCAAGAATGTTACAGGCAAACGTGACTGCTTCGAGAAGGGTTATCTTCTTGGGACATTTTCCGAGCTCTTTATGTTTTGCCTCTGTCCCTTGTACACGCTCCAGGGCCGTACAATGGCACTCTAGGCGGGAGTGTATTAGTTTGACTCCCGTATTCCAATAAGGGTTGAATGTACGTGCTACATAAAATCTGAAAGTCGTTTCTATCTATTCTGGGAAATAAACGTCACATCTGTTGACCAACTTATGACAGTCTCCGGCAATCTATTCCACAATGTCACCATCCAGTTTGTGAAGAACCTGGCCGTCAACTCTTATCTCTTAGTGTTCTTTTTACAGCATAATTGTATCACCTCTGGTGCCGCACTCTGGATCAGAAATGAAGAGGCTGCTAAGCTGTATGCCATACAACCCCTTCACCATCTTGAAGGCTTCTATTAAGTCGCCCCTGGTCCTTCGGGGTGACAGCGAGAAATGATTCAGGTCCTGTAGACTTTGAGTCCAGGTTCTTGCACCGTGAGCATATCGTTTGCCTACGTATGCTTCGACAATAGAAAATCCGCTGCGAGCCGATTTTGGGCTCCCCGTACCCGACTGACTGAACTTTCAGGTGCTTATTCTGTAGCTGATAGCGTTCAGGGCAGAATAGGAATAGCTGCAGAAAGAGAAAAGAGAAATAATGCTTGCAGTCTAGGTATGCACCTAGCTGAGCGCTTAGTAAGATGAGATAATGCCATACACTAAGAGGTTTTCAAATTAAGCGGGGATTTGGATAAACCCGGCAGGGTGCAAAATACGCTTCTGCAGAAGATATAAAAGTGAGCGTAAGGTAAAGTAAAGTGAAAGGTATGGTAGGTGAAAGAATTCCAAGGGGTCCCCGGTTCAGAGGATTGGCGTTAAACTATGGACTGTCGGCCGAGTTGCCCGAGTGCTCTTTAAGTCACTAGACGGTTGCTGATATTCGTCAGAACCTGTCACTAATGTTTACTCACGTCCGTTTTGAATATTTGTCCCAAATGGAAACAAAACCAGAGATTGCGTTTATTGAGAACGATATATTCTGAGATCTTCAAAAAGGTTGGAAGTAGACTTAGCTAGACCTAGGCTGATATTTAAGCAACGGCAGCGGAAACCTGAAAGTAGACCTGATCAATGTAACTGTTGAATTTGTTTGTGGTTGTTGATCGAGTTGTAACAAATGCTTCGGCATCAATTCTTCACGCAATCTTTTCGCACACATCATGGACCATGTATTTGTTTGACTGTACCACTTTTACATTCTTCTCAATATCGTT